GAGGGCAGGATCTTGTACACACACGCGCATGCACACATGCTTGCGAGAGAGGGAGAGAAAATAGAGAGACTGTGTGTGTGTGTGTGCGTGTGTGTGCGTGCGTGTGTGTGCGTGCGTGTGTGCACGCTTGTGTGCGCTCGTGTGCGTGTGCACATACGTGTTGACGGGTGCACGGCACTGTTTTGAGATTGTAGTTGCGCTTTCAAGCGTCACAACGTCGTCACTGTGATGTGGCGTGGCTGGGCACTCATTCGGACCGGCCTGCCAGGGGGAGGGAGGGGCTGCCAAGCCATGTGGGTCGGCCACCCTCTCCCCTGGCGGGGTGCCCTTATTCCCAGCTGTGCACTTTGGGCTGACCAAAGCTTTGGCTTTTCTGAGCCAGCATCACAGCGTAGCGGGTGCTGGGCACAGAGCAGTGCAGCCACTCCCCCAATTCTTGCCTGCTTCCCCCCATCTGACAGCCCAATCCCCCAACGCCACCATTCCCTACCCCACCATCAGGCCTCGCTGCCTACTTCTACACCCGGGACCTGCGGCGGGCCTGGACCCTGGCAGAGAGGCTGGAGTACGGGATGGTGCGGCGCCCCGCCCTTAACTGCCGAGTTGGTTGTTTCCTCATAGGGTGTCTCGCAGCGCGCCGGCATTGCGTTGCCAGCGGTCAGGATCCCTGCCGGATGCAAACGCTTGCACCTGTTTTGCTTAAGCCGCCTGTCTGTTGCCCTCGGTGTCTTTCCTGAGCCTCGCGCTGAGTCTCGCTCCTCACTGGCTTCGCCACGCACGAGCAGCAGCCCGCCACTGCCTGCCCTTGCTTGACGCCTTGTCGCAACCGTCTCACCCCCTTTCCCCCCCAGATCGGCGTGAACGAGGCGAGCATTACGGCTGAGGTGGCGCCGTTTGGCGGCATCAAGCAGAGTGGCCTGGGCCGGGAGCAGGGCACGTGAGCGGTGGAAGGGGGGGGGCATGCACATGGGCGGCTCCGGGGTTGGATGACTGGGTGCGGAAACGCATGAAACTTGACAAGCACGTGGGCTGGGTGCACACCTGCTGCGGCAGCGGTTGATCTTGGGGGCGATGGCGGCGGGCGCAATAGAGTCGCTCTGGGGCCGGGCTGGACCGTCAGCTGCGGACCCATGTTCATAGCAGGGCACCGCATCGTTTTGACGGCACAGGCCGCACGCAGCCACGTTGCCTCACATACACCAGTCTATCTTGGGTGACGGGGGCCGCGTCAGACGCGCTGGTGCAGGCAAACCTGGGGTGTCGCGTGGCAGATACCCCATGTTTCTCTGCCCCCACCAGTCCTTCCTCCGCCTTCCAACAAAAACCCACCCCTCCCCTCTCACCCCTTTCACCCAACCTCGTGCGGACCCTCACCCGCAACCCTCATCCCCAGCCCTCAACCACCTGCCCGCCCCACCCCACCTCACCCCTCTACAACCCACCCTGCGCCACGCCCCGACCCCGCAGCATCGGCATGGAGGAGTTCCTGGAGGTCAAGTACGTCTGCATGGGGCTGGGCTATGCATCAGAGTCAGAAGACGAGTGAACAGCCACCCATGGCCACCCTGAGGGGCCGCCCGCTGCCGGCGGCCACGCCTTGGCCTGCTGACTGGTTCGTGTTCGACTCTCTATTTCCTTCTCTTTGCTCTGTTGGTGCACCTGCACAAAACCAAACTTGTGAATTGTAGCGCCCATGTTGCAAGTTCGTCGGTTTCAAGTATTGCTGGTTGGATCAGGAAGAGGGGCGTCACTTAGTCACTCCAGCGCACTCCGGAGGGACGCACGAGGGTGCCCTGTGCAGCTCGCCTGACGTGCATGTCGATCGGATTTTGTCCAGCAATTCACCATTTCTCCTGTAATACCACGGCTTCCCCACGCCTCGCTCCCGCGGGATTGTCATATTGGCATTGGACTCCACCTCCCTCCCATTCTCGGTGCATCGCCTTGTATACAGCTCTCAGAGCGTTTGCGATGCCTCTCTGCATCGGTCAGCGCTGCGTGCAGGCCGCGGCCTCCACCAGCAGCAGAGTGGGTGCGCCGGTGCCCACGCTGAGAAGCAACCGGGCAGCCCGCAGCGTGCGAGTCGGCCTGACTGGGGGAGCTGCGGGAGAGAAGGCCCTATTTGGCGAGGACTTTGGCGCGCGCGACCCCTACGCCGCGGAGATTGAGAGCAACTTCGGCGAGAAGGTCCTAGGCAACTACAACACCGATCACATCATCAAGTGAGCGCAATTAGTACCACATAAGCCAGGCAGGGGGTACCCTGGCTGCAGCGCAAGGAGCCGCCTAAGAGTCCAGCACCGCAGCAACGCGTTACTGCACTTGCGCATCGCCGCCGCCTGCTCGCCCCAACCCCATTGACCCTCGGCTGGCCAGCAACGGCAACCTCGAATCATTGAGGCTTGTGTGCTGCCCTGCGGTCCTGCCCAAATATGACGCGCTGCGTGCATGAAGGCATGCGCAGTGCTGAAGTCATGCCCCACGCTCTGCCCTGCAACCGACTCTGCCCTGCTCTCCTTGCACCCACACCTGGCGCACTCAAAAGGCCCCCAGAGGCCATCGGCAAGGTCCTGGGCCTCGCTGCCCGCAGCCTCCCGGCGGCTTCCGAGCTCGTGGTCCTGGACGCCTCGACCCGCGAGCGGCTGCGGCAGCAGGTACCCGGCTGGCGCGTCGTCGCGGCCGGCGCGGACGCCGCCGCCGCCATCCAGCAGGACTGGACGGTCAAGGACGCTGACTCAGCGCAGCGGCTGGTCGACAGCATCGGGGAGATCTCGCGGTCGCTGGGCCACGCGCCCGCGTCGCTCGAGGCCGTCGGCGGCACCACCGTCGTCGCGCGGCTGGCCACAGAGGCGCTGGGTGAGTTGCCTCGCAGTCAGGGGTTCGGAGATAGGAAAAGCAGCGGCCTGCCAGCGCCCACACCCCGCCGCCAGCAGGTGTTACCATGCGTGTGCGCCCAGGCATGTGCGTGTGTAGCCTGCAACGGATTGCCGCGAGGGCAGCGGCGGCACTGCCGACCAC